ATAAGTATCTCACAAAGAGTGTTGAGAACAGGGTGCACTTGCTGCGAAGACTCTTCAGATTTCAGATGTCCAGAGGCACCTCGCTAGCGGCTCATGTGAACAACTACACTAAGTTGTTGTCGGACTTGGCGAATGTTGATGAGAAGATATCGGATGAGTACAAGGCGATTATTTTGTTAGGCTCCTTACCGGATGAGGAGTATGATACCTTCGTGCTCACTTTGTTGAACGGGAGATCTTCTATCAGCTATAGTAAAGTGACTAACGCATTGACCAATTACGATTTGAGGAGGAAGGACAATGAGACTTCCCGTGCTAGCACTTTAGGCGAGGCCTTGTCGACGAGAGGTAGAAGCCCATATCCGAAAGATGGTAATAGAGGAAGGTCAAAGTCTAGAGGCCACCACCAATTAGCAAAGAACCAATGTGCATTCTGTAAGGAGCAGGGACATTGGAAGAGAGACTGCCCGAAGCTCAAGGAGAAGGAGAATGGCAAGAAAAAGGGCCCGAAGGCCAATGAGGTGAACGTTACGAAAGGCGATGATTCCGATGATTCGTGCTTTTCTCTACTGATTACTCCGGAAGTGAACCATGTGAATGCATCAGATTGGATGCTTAATTCCGGTGCTACTTATCATGTGACCCCTAGGCGAGACTGGTTTGCATCTTTTGAGAAAGTCGACGGGGGTGTTGTTATCATGGGAAATGATCAATCCTGTGACGTTTGTGGGATAGGTACCGTACGGATTAGGATGCACAATGGAGTAGTCCGTGAGTTGAAGGAGGTGAGATTTGTTCCTCAACTGAAGAAAAATCTTATTTCAGTTGGAGCTTTGGAGGCGAAGGGATTCAATGTGACTTTCGAAAATACTGTAGCGAATGTTACTAAGGGATCATTGGTGGTGATGAAGGGAGTCCGCAATCGGAATTTGTATTATCTGAAGGGAAGCACCGAGATTGGCCAGGTTGCTTCGGCTATTTTAGAAGCGGACATGAGTAGACTTTGGCACTATAGGTTAGGGTACACAGGTAAAAAGTCACTGCAGGTATTGTGTAAGCAGGGGCTATTGAAGGGAGCCAAGAGTGAAAAGATTGAGTTCTGTGAGCATTGTGTTCTTGGCAAGAAAACGAAGGTGAAGTTCGGGACTGCCATTCATCAGACGAATGGCATCCTGGACTACGTGCACACAGACGTTTGGGGTTCCACCAAGACTGCATTACTTGGTGGTAGACATTGGTTCGTCACTTTTGTAGATGACTATTCTAGGCGTTGTTGGGTGTACACCATGAAGCATAAGAATAAAGTCCTAGATTTATTCGTGGAGTGGAAGAAGAGATTGGAACTGTAGACTGGGAGAAAGATCAAGACATTGCGATCCGACAACGGTGGTGAGTATACTTCTGACCCCTTTCAGCAGCTATGTCGAGACGAGGGCATAGAGAGACACTTCACAGTTAGTCATACACCGCAGCAAAATAGGATGGCAGAGAGGTTAAATCGGTCTTTACTGGAGAAGATCTGATACTTATTATCGCAGAGTGGTTTGGAGAAGATCTTTTGGGCTGAGGCACTTACATATGCGAGCCACCTCATTAATAGGCTGCCTTCATCTGCGATTGAGGGGAAAACCCCTATGGAGAAGTGGTCGGGAGAACCAGCACGAGATTATGACCAGCTCAAGGTATTCGGGTGCCCTACATTTTATCATGTGAGAACAGATAAATTAGAACCTCGAGCTAGGAAGACCATATTTGTAGGATTCAAGCGTGGTGTCAAGGGATACAAGCTTTGGGATCCAGTGGATAAGAAGATTGTGCTGAGTAGGGACGTCACGTTTGATGAAGCTTCTATCTTGAAGCTTCCCAGCTCTCATCAGGTGGAGAGCGACCCGACGGAGAAGATATCGCAGGTGGTGGAGATCGATGCAGCTCCACATTGTCCAGATGGTACAGTATCCATTAGAATGCCGACTGAGGTGACGCCAGGCGAGCACGACGGTAACACGGAGGATACGGGTACTAATATGCAGGATCATGGACCGACGGCTCAGGTTCAGGATTCGATTGCGGTTCGGAGACAGAGGAGAAACATACAGATGTCAGCACGGTATGCCGACACAGTTGCGTATGCACTTCCGGTGGAGGGTATCGATGAGTTGGTGCCTACTACATTCAGAGAGGCCGAGCAGAGTTCGGAGGCTGATTCGTGGCAGGTGGCTATGCAGGAGGAGATGGAGTCTCTTCACAAGAACGATACATGGGAGCTTGTAGAGCTTCCAAAGGGGCGGAAGGCGATTGGGTGCAAGTGGGTGTACACGAAGAAGGAGGGCATTGAGGGCACTCCAGTGAGGTTCAAGGCTAGGTTGGTTGCGAAGGGCTATGCACAGGAGGAAGGTATTGATTACAATGAGGTTTTCTCTCCGGTGGTGAAGCATTCGTCGATTCGGATTTTGCTAGCTTTGGTGGCACAGTATGGATTGGAGTTAGATCAGTTGGATGTGAAGACGATATTTCTTCATGGTGATCTTGATGAAGAAATATATATGACTCAGCCATTGGGATTCCGAGCTGCAGGGAAAGATAAGTTGGTTTGCAGATTAAAAAAATCGCTATACGGTTTGAAGCAGTCTCCTCGACAGTGGTATAGGCGATTTGATGGTTTTATGCTTGGTCATTCGTACACTCGGAGTCAGTTTGATCCTTACGTATATTTTCGCAAGTTGAAAGAAGGTGCATATATTTATTTGTTGCTTTATGTCGATGACATGTTGGTTGCCTCTACTTCCAGGTCAGCTATAGATGAGTTGAAAGTTCAGCTTTCAAATGAGTTTGAGATGAAAGACTTGGGTGAAGCGAAGCGCATTCTAGGGATGGAGATCGGCAAAGACAAGAAGAAGGGCAGAATTTGTTTGACACAGGTGGCTTATTTGAAGAAGGTTCTACAACGATTCTATGTTAGCATGGATACAAAGCCAGTTAGTGTACCATTAGGAGCCCATTTGAAGCTTTCGGCTGGTCTTTCATCGAAGTCAGTTGAAGATCGAGAGTTGATATCGAAGACTCCATATGCGAGTACGGTTGGGAGCTTGATGTACGCGATGGTATGTACGAGACCAGATTTGTCACAGGCGGTGAGCATGGTATCGAGATACATGCACGATCCAGGAGTGGGTCATTGGGACGTCGTGAGATGGATTTTGAGGTACATTCGAGGTACGCTCAATGTTAGTTTGGTTTATGAGCGGGACACTATAGGTGGGCAGCTATGCATTGGTTATGTTATTTCAGATTATGCCGGGGATTTGGATAAGCGTCGATCTACGACGGGGTATGTGTTCACTTTGACCCGTGCGCCGGTGTGTTGGAGATGCACTTTACAGTCTACGGTGGCTTTGTCTACGACGGAGGCAGAGTATATGGCAGTTACGGAGGCTGTGAAGGAGGCTATTTGGCTTCGAGGACTTTTGGAGGAACTTGGTATATCGCAGAGGTCCGTCACTATTCATTATGATAGCATGAGTGCTATCTATTTGGCGAAGAATCAGGTTTTTCATGCGAGAACGAAGCACATTGACGTTCGCTATCACTTCATTCGGGATGTTCTTGAAGATGGCGATGTGGAAATTGTGAAAATCCACACGAAGGATAATCCGGCGGATATGCTCACTAAGGTGGTTCCGAGCAACAAGTTTGATCATTGTCGAAACTTGTTGCACATTCGTGATTGTTGAGGCCGTTGGCGGCCATTTGGATGAACTACGTGAGGCTTGATTCCTTGGGCAAGAGGATACGGTAGGCAGTCTTTACGATGCAGCCGGTTTGGATTAGTTGATGGGGGTGAGATTGTTTGAGCTCTCGTTCGGGTTCCCGACTTGTTGTCGAATGAGTGGGACATTTGCTTGCTTTTGTGTCGGCTCAGTTTTGGAAGAAACTTCACCGAGGTGGAGAATTGTGAACGCTTAGAGGGAAACGCGTCTTCACGTGGGGAGAAGTTTGTTCACGTGGCCTCGGGCCCACCCGAAACAAAGATGGAGATGTGAAGCGGTTTTTTTTATTATTCCCTGGACCCGACTTCCGCAGCGCAGCTTATAAATAGCAAAGTTTAATTTCTATGTTATTTTTTTGGAGCAGGAGCACAGGCAGAGAAGCATTGCAGGTTTGATTTTGCGGCTGCAGTGGAGAACAGGGTGTGCAGGGATTTGGTTTTCGGCTGATTTTGTGCTTTTGTGAGAGAGTATTTGTGTGAGGGATTTGAGAGTTTATTTGAGGGTTTAGGTTGTGAGTGATTGTAAACCCTAGTTGTAATCTCTCCCTCTATTAGTAGATCTCCCCCCTCCTTGCCCCGTGGACGTAGGCAATTTGCCGAACCACGTAAAATTGGTTATATCGCTATTTGTGTGTTTTGTAATAGCTTTTAGGATCCCTCGACAGGTCAGTCCTAGAACTGATGAGAGGAAGAGCCGATATCTCACTTTGTTGAGATATTCGCTTCAGATTCTTGTTTCCTTGGTGAGACGGGAATTATTATTGCAAACTGCTCTCTTGTTGTGCTGCCGAAGTGCTGTCAAAATTTTCGCTGCGCACAACACAACTCACATATGGCAAAAAGGCAGATAAATAAATAAATAAATAAATGAATAAATCAGCACAATACCTAGCTAAGCTCCGCAATCTTCCTCCATCCATTTCAGCTCTCCCGAGCCCTAACCTCCACCGCCGATAAATTAGCATGTTTTGATTATCATTCGCCTAGATGTTTCGTTTTATTAGTCACGTTAGATATTTTAAGAATTGAAGGAGGCCAGTAGTATGCGCTTGCCCATGAAAAAAATAAGAAAATAAATTATGACTTTCACATAAGCATGACCAGACGACGAACAGCAACTTAGAAATCATCTGTTTTTTTTTTTTTTTTTTTTTTTTGCTCATCGAAACTAAATATAAACAATGATCGATAAGCTCAAACCTGAGATAGTGACTGATAAACTCAAAACCTGATCAAATCAATAACAATCTGGGAGAGCATAATTTGATTTCATATAATAAGAATCTAGTTATAAATTAGGACTATAATCAGAACACTAACCAACAATAACTGGTTCTTGCTCATGAATATGAAAATAATTGACGTATCCTCTTCATCAAACTATCACAGAAAGAGGATATAAAAAAAAATTAACAAACAAAGAATTCGCACTCCTGCTGCTTGCTTGTTGCCTACTGTGTCCATCTTCTTCCCTTCATCGTCTGCAAGAATCTGTTCTCCGGCAAGCAAAACCCGGCTGGAAGATGTAATTAGCAACATGAGGCCCCAACAAGAACACAAAGGAGAAACATTGATATGCAAGCTGCATCAGTAGCAGAACTTTCACATACATAAAGCAACAAGTGGGGGGCAAAAGACAAAAACAATATCAGCGAGTCTTTAAGAATCGCCTCTCCTTCAACAGGAAAAACTTGGCTATGAACCATGACTTTGCTTGGTAAGCTCAAGGATCTCGCAAAGTTCTAGCGCTATCAACCCTATTTGTAAATAAAAAACTTTCACAGAAGAGCTTGTTCATAATGGCCATATAATTTACGGTAAAGGATGATGTATGATAGGAACTTCTGTTTCAAGCATCATTTGGTTGTAAAATGAATGAATTTATAATATTAGATAAATTTGATCAACTTAATGCACTCCCAATCAGTTACCAAAGCATAGAATACACTAGTTGTTGATATTCTGCGACTGGAGTTCTTTATGAATTGTGTGTGCACCAGAAGGGCTCAATTTGTACGTTGGGTGTTAAGAAACAAGTAATAAAAGAAAAATTTTTTCATGCATCAAGTGGTTGTAACAAAATGCCTTGACAATATTAAATAAAATAAACCACCTTGATGCACTCTCAAAATGTTTCTGGAACATAAAACTACTTGTATTTATTTCATGGATGAAAATTTTGATGGACTGTATGTTATGAGTAATCCATCAATCTGTACATCAGGTAGGAGGAGACCTTTTGTTATTATACTTGGTAACCAGAAGCAAGTAATTTTGGGCTATATATCTGAACTTACTGTACTTGGGCTGTCCAAAAAGCACTAAATGTGTATTGTTCACACATACCTGGCGAATCTACACGTGTGCATTCTATACATGTTGGAGCTAGCCTAAGGTTAGTTCTAATTGTTAATTCGTACTCCCATGTAGATTGAGATGTATAGAACATTCTACTTGTACATATTTCATGTATGAAACTTCTAATGAATTGTAAGTGTACTTCATCAATTTGTACACCAGGTAGGAGGAACATTATTACTATTATAAATTATGATTATCATTTTTATTATTTGTTATACATGGTAGGCAGAAACAAGTAATCTTGGGCTATTTCATGTATTTGGCTATCCGAAAGTACTAGTTGTGCATTGTTCACACATACCATGGTAAATCTACAACTGTATGTTCTACACACATGTTGATTTAGCCTAAGGTTAGTTCTAATCACTAATCTTACTCCTATCTAGACTGACATGTATAAAATCTATTAGACAAACAAGATTGTGCCCGTTGCTAAACATAGAAGACCAGTTGCCCTATGACCTTTCTCATTGATCATGTACCCGGGAGTACAAAAGATGTAACAATGACTAGCAAGAAAAGTGCAAAAGTGTCAAGATTTGCTATAGAAAATTCCATTTACATTACTAAGCACAGTATACACTATAGAATTAAATACCCAAATATAGAAAGGAGATTCACACCTGCAACAACATCGAAGGAGCTGGTGGAGTCTCAGGTGCAACATGGCTCCTCGTCTTCCTCCCATTTCCAGCTCCAACAACCAAAGGACTACCTCCAACACCACCGCCAATGTCCCAAAATGTCCTCTTCTTTGTTCCAAGCACTGGTGACTTAAACCGATGACTTGGGCTCTTTATCTCCCCTCCTCCTATATTCCTCTCGCCTTTACTTGTTGTAGCCCTCGTAACCACTCTCCAGCTCTCTTTACCAAGCTTCAGCTCCCTAATAAGATCATCTTTCTGCTTTAACTCAAGGGCATGATCTTTTTTTAGCCTTTCAATCTCAGCCTCTAATGCCTTAATTGTGTCACTGTTCTTGGCCTCAGAGGGTGGTGGAGTGCCAAAGCAGTTTGTAGTTAAGAGAGAGCGCTTGGTTCTTCGAGGTGCGGACAGAGGAGAAAGAAGGGGAGAAGGGGAGGGAGAAGAGTTTGAGGCTAGTGATTGAGCTTGGAGAGTTAAGAGCTTCTGTTGGTGGCGGACGAGCTGTTGCCTTAGCTCGCTGTTCTCCTTTTGGAGCTCTAGAACTAATTTGGTCTGGTCAGTTTCAGATTCGGGCATTAAAGTTACTTCCTCATTCATTGTGCTGGTCTGCATGAAAGAAAATTATATTTCACTACTTTGTTCGTCTAATCTAAATATGCAAGACATAAATTAGTAGCTTGCAAATTTTATTGGATATTATTGCAGTTGAAAGATGAGCAACAAATGGCCAAACTAATATGAACATTTACCCTTTTTTTAAAGAAAAGGATGAATATACTAGTATCATTTTCATTTAATTATGGTTATAGCTCTTAAACCAATAAACAAGGAAAGAAAAAGTTGTTTCACATAAGCAATTATCAGAGCACAGAAAGAAAAAATCATTTGAAGGCAAGGATATATTCACATAAGCACACAATAAAGAACATATCAAATAGAAAAGTGATGAACCTTCTTTCTTAGAATCTATTAATAGAGTTTCTTTTTTTCACCCCTTTTGGCAGAGAGTAATAGGTTATTCGTGACCATCTTGTAAAGATTACTCCTGATCTGCCCCTTGCCAATCCATCAAAGACTTTATTGGAAGTAAGATTGTCAGCTAATACAAATCAGAAGATAAGACTGCAAACCTTAGTTTTTATTTCCTTTGCTCTGTCAGCCCAGTGAAGAGTATTTTGGGTCTCACTGAAGGATAGACTGCTCGGGCTAATATTGGCTATCATCACAGTATTGCAAGGGCCCCCTAATGAGTCCTTGAGGAGTTGAGTGAGCTTCGAGTTGCGATAAGGGATGTGCTTCTTACCCTCCACAAGAGCATTGATACAACTGCTCAGTGCTAGGAGCGAGCGATTAATGTTCGCACCTTCTATTGATCTTTGAGTTCTTTGATCTGTTGCTAGAGCTCTCTCCGAACCAGCTAGATCAATGAGAGAAAGTTTCCCCACTCGGGTCAGTAAGTTACCTGAGTCTTTGACTCGGTATTCTGCAACAACCTATATATGAGAAATATATGATAACTTGTCCTTGAAGAATGAATAAACAAGGCATATAGGATAAACCGATTGGCACTGAAATGTAGTATGCTATTTATGTTAATGTATTACACATCCATAAATATATTGCCTATACGTAAATTAACAGCGCCAACAAACAATACAATCATTGAAAAATTAATATAACATTACATGAGTAAATTATGTAATATTCATTAATAACTTATCAATAATGTTTGAAATACTTAAAAGTCTCTTCCCCTAACCCAAAATCATGGTGAGAGTTGAGGGATTTTTATCTTCTATGTGATCTTAAACTTTAAAATTCTATCAAAAGTTTGAGAAATTTCAAAAATTTCATGAATATTGGTAAGGAATAATATATTTTTAGATTTGATTGGTAACATTTTCTGACACACACAGAGAGAGAGAGAGGAGGAGGAGGAGGAGGAGGAGGGGGACCTGCAGAATGGCATGAGATCGCGAAGATGTTTCATTGACTCGAGTGGGCTCAGTGGTTCTATTCATATTCCCTTGCTGAAGCAACGCCATGACCTAAGAGACGGCAACAAAGTATTCATATAATTTTATTTCAAATATTATCAGCACCAAAGACGAAATAAATAATGAATAATAAAAAAAGTCTTACTTCATCTGTGGAGTAAGCTCTATACTGAGTAAGCCCCGCTGCTACGGTTCCCTGATAGTAGCCACATTTCTTTTCTTAGCAAATATAACATCAATCTGAAATTGAATGGATATAGACTCCATTTTGTAGATAAAATTAAATAGTTTCAGCTTATTAAATTACTCAGAATCATTCTTCAGCTACACTTTCAGAGCAACATTTACAGCACAAAGAAATGTTGGATAGTAGAGAATGCATTTTCAACAACTTGGAATTTTTAACAATGGAATAGGAGTATTAAACTAATTACTAAATTTTTTGTTCATTGAAATTGGGTACACATGATGGTGAGTGTACATTTTTAAAGAGGAATTCAAGAGATTTAAAAGCTCCTATCCAAAAACAAAGTAAAATCCAACAATCATGCTACGAGTAAAGGTCTCCGTATGTTGAAGTAATTGTGGCAGTGATTTTCCTCTTTTTCAAATAAAAATCGCAGATGGAGAGGAAACTGAGTTCTATTGTATGCAGCCTTTGTAGCTAGACACAACAATACCAATGGTGAAGAAACAACAAAAAAAATTCAAGAATTTTCATGAAATTAACTAACTACATAGATAAAAGTTGGCTTCTTTATTTTAATATGCTTGTATGATAATCAACACATAGAATAACATGCAACAAGCGTGGACTTTGAAGAATAATAGAGACCAGGGAAAACAAACACTTCATCAAGAACAAAGAGGTAAATCTAACCCTACCTGCTTATCTTCTCTGAGGACAAGAGGTCGGCCAGGGGCTAGCAAATCTCTTACAGTCTCATTGTAGACCTCTAAGTAAGACAGATGAACTGAGTGATTCCCATCACAACTACGCTGCCTAATCTTAAAGAACAGGTCTTTAATTGCGAGCACCATCACCCCGGGATTTTCCACTGTTCCCAACATTGTATAAGTTTTTCCTGCTCCTGTAGCCCCATAGCAGAAAACTGTACCATTTCTCCCTTGAAGAACACCCTCCACGAGGTCTGCTGTTCTGCAATGTGCACAATGGGATATCTTTTATGATGTTGTACGTTGTATCTATTTTGATAAGAACCTAAAAGATGCAGCACTAATCAAATTGTTAGTTTTCACTTTCATTGTAAAAATTTAACAAAATGCTATATTGAATTATGTGTAGTCTTCAGTTTATCTCAGAGAACTGCAAGAGTGAGACATGCTATACCTATAGGGTAAATTGTTAACAGACCAGGGTAGATTCAATTATTAAAATTGAAAATGAATTCAAAAATCAGAATTCTTGTTAACTATCAAGTATGAGAAATTTCTCTTTTCTACTTTGGAAGGAACTAACACAACAAAAATGTTATTTCTTGAATCCAACAGTAGATTGAAGTCTCCTGTGTACAGAGTAAAATTCTTACAAAATCAGGTTAATTCAATAACTGAAAGCAGAAAACGGATCAAGACAAATCAGAACCCCTGTCATTGTAAAGTATAAAAATTTAATGTTTTTCTTGAATTTTGAAGGAGCTAACATGTTATTCTTGACAACAAATGCGCACAATATATAAAGCAAGAAATGACCTTTTTATGACAAACTAGGCCTCAAAATTTTACACTAAACACCCAACTATAAATATGCACAAACAAAATCTTCATCAAAAAGATTAGAAACCTTACGTTGTAGTATAAACTTCTTGCTGAGCCGTTGGCTCAGGGAACGACGTATCAAAGCAAAAATGTCGCCCTTGAATCCTCTTAAACCTCAAGTAATCCGTCTCCAATGCAAACCCCGTCAAATAAACCTCTTTGTGATCCACAATCTTAACACAAGAACGAGCTCCAGCCTCCTTTTCCTTCCTTGACATCGGCCTTAACCTCACAAACACCATAATCCTACTCCCATTCTCTCTATTTTCCGATACTGGGCCCACCACCATCTTCTTCGTCTTCACCACCATTCCCTCTGACATCGGACCTAATCCACCCATCGAGAGCTTTCTTGCTGGCAATGTCGGTTTCTTGGGGCAAGAGTAGACCTCGATGCGATCAGAGACGTTGATTTCTTGATTCTCCTTCTCCTCTGCTCTTGAGTATGTGATGGGCTTCTTTAAGGCTGGTTTTGAGGCCAAGTTCTCTCTCATGAGTAACCCTTCTCTTTGAGGCTCTTCTTGCAACCTTCCTTCTTTGTTCTTTCGGTTGGAATCGAGGAGTGCAGTGATCCGGGTTTCGGGTTGAAGAATTGATGGGTTTGGGTTTGGGTGAGTTTTTGCTGAGGCTAACTTCTTGTGCTGCTCATATAACAGGGTTAAGGCCTTCATCTTCTCCTTCAAGCCATGATGAGGGTTTCTGAGTATTGCCGGGGCCTGTGGCTCTTTGCTGGAATCTGTCGGCGCGCAAGAGATCTGAGACCTAGTAGAGACTGGCATTTTACTTGGAGAAAACAAGAGAAAAATGGGAGAAAATGGGATGAATGAGGCTATTTAGGCATCAATTTGAACAGATTTCAGATACCCAGATGCTGAATTCTTGTTTAATTTAGCAAAGATTGAAAATTTAATAAAGAAACGTAAGAAAACGGGAGGAATAGGGATATTTGGGCACGGATCTGACGAAATTTCGAATACATAGAAAATTTTATCGCATAAATTTCTAAAATTTTGAGCACCCGATTGAAAATTCTGTTTCTTTACACAAAGATTAGGGTTTTTTGGAACTTTGGGAATAGAAGGGTTTCTTGATTGGATTATGGAGATGTATTTGGTACTGTAGCAGAAAGAAAGGAGCAAGGAGCAGGTAGCTGTGAAGTGGTTATTTGGGAAAATCCCTGAGGGTATTTTGGGAAAGATACGTGAAATAGGCTGATTTCAAAATTTTGAGGTGTAACGGTCGGAAGTTTTTTGAAAGTCAAATACTTTCGCTTTCAAAGATAGTTTTCCAAAAAGGAATATGAGGCCAGATCTTCTAAAATGTGTGAGTTTGTGATATTTGGCCCATAAATATATGAAGATCTAACTTCAATGTTTTTTGATACAAGCAAAGATCCCGAAATTAGTAAAGATATGTGTCATGAATGCTTTCTGGAAATTCAAGATTTTTGGCTAGATATAACTTACAAAAGATTTTGGCTTTTAAGTATACGGAGATCTAATAATTAATAGGAACATGTAAATATGAACTCATGATCTTACAGGGAAATTACATTATAATGACATTCTA